TTTTTTTATTAATTGAAACAATATTTTATTTATATACAATCTGTATTTATATGTTGTACAATAAGCAAATTTGATGAGATTTGATTGACGGGAAAGGGAAGTCGAYCAATGATGGCGTGAAAATTTAAAGTAAACACGGTTAATAATTTTGAATTGCAACAATTAAAGAATATATATTTAGATTTTTGACTGTTTATTACTACATAATATGTTCAGTGTGCTGATCTATTAGCTAATAGCTGAACCTATTGATAATAATATGATCTTATGGGATAATCATCAAAACCCTATAGCGAAATTCAATGTAATTTTATTTTTTAYGTTTATAATTTTATATCACAACATAACTTGACGAAAAGGAAATAATAAGTTTATTGATAAAAAATATGGAGACATTGTTCGAGCATTGTTTCCAGTTGATTTAATAAGAGTAAAAACAATAATTAAAAAAGAGGTCAAGGAAAAATAATGATTGGCATAAAAAAATCAAACAAWAGTATAAATATAATAAAAATTTAGAAAAATATAYTAGACATTTTTATACGTTTTTATTACTTTAGAAAACCCGTGAGTTAATTTGTATCAAATACACTTAAATCGAATTAAATAACCTAAACATTTTGTATGCTGTAGATTTATTTGTAATATTATTTTAGTTTAGGAATTTGACCAAATTTATAGCTTAACCTAGGATATAGATAATAATTTGTTAATCTTATTATTTTAGTGGAATTTACCGCTTTGTTTTCCGTTTATTTCACCCACTTGTTAACTTCCTCCAGTATWTATATATTTCTAACGAAGGCGACTGCATTGAACGATTGTGTTTGTAAATATTACGGTTTATATTATTATAATAATATGCTTTTTTTACTATTGTGATAGCCATTAACGACAAGAAATCACATTCTCTTACAATTTGTATACGCTCGATTAATCATTTTTCCGATTCCATTCGTGATCTCGATTTCCTATCCAAGAACATCGAACCTATCAACATGCATTAAATTTCTCTATTCTAATATATTGCAGCATTATCTAATAATTTGCTTTCAATTAAACAGCATTCCTTAAGCCTGCAAGGTACCTATACATTCTCCCCGAMATTAATTTCCTTGTAGATCAATCCACAATCCATATCAAATGTGAGGTAGTCAGTTATCTATAAAAAGTAATAATATTATGATTATAGCTTCAGTATAAGTTTATTGATAAATAATTAATGTCGATTAATTTTTCGAAATTTTTCGAAATATGTTTATGTATATTGAATAACATAATATCTACTCATTAAAATTATGCAAAATCACTCCCAACAGAACATTGACAACAAATGTATCTTCCTAATGGATTTTGTTATTGCAGCTTATTTTTCTTAAAATTTCAATGGTTGAATTATCAATTTTGTTTACTTTTTATTATCTATGATCTTTTAAACTTTGGTGAATTCGCAGTAATAGTTTTAGTTGGAATGATTTTAATATTTAATTTTATAGTGCTGAATAATTTTTGTTTTAAATAAACTTATAATAAAAATGTAATGAATAATGCGATAAAAAAAAGCATTTCGTTAATTTTAAATAATCGATTTCTCTACACAAATTGGTAAATAATTAATAARCTTATATATTTACTTATTTCAATATTATTTCAATTGAAAAATTAATAAATTTAGAAAATTAAGTTGAAAATTGGCAGACCATTACGTCAATTTTTTTCAGAAAAATAATAAATACCATAAAAAGGGTTATTATCGTTAAAAAAATTAAATAAGTTTTGTTGTTGGTACAACMGCATGCTTAAAAAAAAWTATAATTACTTGAATGGATTTTTAATTTTTTTGAAATTCTATTTAATTTTATTGAACGGAATAAAAAAAAACCACAGCACTTGTAAAATATTAAGATACACATAATGTGTGTGTATTATATTATTTTGATTTACGGCTGCAGAGTTGACGTGTAACCATAATATGGAAATTTTTATTTTCAGATGTGCTTCGAACATCAAAGAAGTCACAGAGACGTGTCTTAGTGGATTGGTCTCTATGTTATCGAGCCGCGATGGTAATAATTCCCAGTAACATTATAGATCGCCTGTACATAAATTATGAGTGTACATTGCGCGTTAGTTTTTTTTATTATTGATATAATTGATTTTTATTTTTTAGAAGCGGTAGTAGCTGAAAGCGTTGTCGTTATTAAAAAACTGTTGCAAAACCAACCCGAAGCCCATTGCGATATAATACGACACATGGCTCGATTGATGGACTCCATAGCCGTGCCCCAAGCGAGGGCCTCAATTTTGTGGTTACTCGGAGAGTACTCACAATTGGTGTCCACGATAGCACCCGATGTGCTCCGGAAAGTTGCAAAAACATACGTTACTGAGGTAAAATTTGTACTTTTAAAAGGATTCAATAATGTGGTGTATCTATAAACAATGTATAATGTGCATATATCGTATTATTGTACTGACCACGAGTTGCCGAAATATGGATATTTTAATTTACCGTTTTTTATGTGTGTGTCTGTGCATATAGGAAGATATAGTGAAATTACAAATAATGAACTTAGCGGTCAAATTGTTCTTAACGAATCCTGCGCAGACAACTTTATTATGCCAGTATGTGTTAAAACAGGCCAAATACGATCAAAACTACGATATTCGAGATCGTTCAAGATTTTTGAACAACATACTGTTTCCTCCCGAACAATTCAAGGACAGCGTATTGAGCAAACACGCAAATAATATATTTTTGGCYGAAAAACCCGCTCCATTACTTCAGTCCAATTTCGTTGGTAATTAATCGTTTTTATTGTTTACTAAATTAACTACTAGTTGCAAGTTGTTGTAAAGATTAATTGTAATACTTAAATTATATTTGTCGATCATCAATATAATCATTAATATTTTTTGAGGGTTAAGTTGGTTGTAGATTTTACGTATTACCGGTAGTTCATCTGGTTCACTTATGATATTAATTAACATTTAGGTATCATATTGTATTTAAATCCGAACCTTAAACTAATATTATAATAATACTTGAATTAAAATCGTAGATCGAGAAGAATATCAAATGGGGTCKCTATCACATTACATCAATAGCCGAGCAATCGGATACCAAGATTTACCTCAGTTCCCCGATTTACCGACGGACTCGAGCGTTCGTTGCGTGGCCATACCAGAAGAACAAGAAAAGCCGGTTAAACAGAAGGCCGAACGGACAACCATCAATAAGAATAAAACGTTTTATTCCGATTCCGAAAACAATTCCGACGATAGTTCAGAAGAATCGGACGATTCTGACGACGATTCCACAGACTCGTCGTCGGATTCTACCTATGAAAAAATTGAATCAGAGGTAAAATTATTAGAGGGCTAAATGGGAAATAATGATATTTTATCAAACGATATTGGTAATATGGTTTRAAATGTATAAAATAGGTGAACAAAAATCCTGGACGTTTCRTGGATTCCGACGTAAATAGTTCAGACAGTGAATCTGTCGAKAGCGATAGCAGTGACGAACAAACTGTTGCCGTTCAAAAAAATGTCTCCAAACCGTCAGCTAAGAGCAATGTAGACCTGTTGTTGGAACTAGATGATTGTGAGTTTTTAAAATTTGTTGATTATGTATTCAGTTTTTTTGCATGCCTATAGTAGGTAAGTGGTGTATATACGGGGGAGGGGGTCAAGGAGAAGGATCCCCACAATTTACACACAATGATGTGAAATTTAAATCTGAGCAAAGAAATGAATATATTGTTTTTAGAATATTTTTTTTCTATCTGTCACTACCTTTTGAAAAACTTAATTTTCCACYTTAGTATTTTTTTTGGTAGGATAGTGAATCTAATTAGTATTTTGGGGGTCAAAATTAAAAAAACTCAAAATCTATTTTGTGTTTTTGTAGTAACTAACTCAAAAACAAAAAACCATAGATTTCAAGTTAATTTAAATTTAACTGAAACCGCTCAAATATTTACCTTACATTTAAATAGCCTTAAAGGTGTTGGTCGTAATAAAATAATGATTTTTTTTTTCCCCATTCGAATAAACTTAGTCGCCCCAGTTGGACAAACTACGTTGGTACCGTCGTTTGGAAATATTCTCTCTCCGTCTAGCAGCAATCAACCGTCGTCATTTCCCGTTTCAAAATCAACTTTAGAAAATTTCAGAAAGGTACATTCAACTGTTTATATCGAAGCTCTTAGTACACCGCTTCGCGTATGTGATAACTGGTACGTTTGTTAAAAATTCTTACCATCGTGTATTGTGTTTATATATAGATAGTAGCTCCAAGTTTCGTGCCATCGGTGAAAACTGAAATATTGAACAAAATTAACGGACACAACGAACTCAGTATATTGGCGCGATTCACGAGAAGTCCTCACGCGATGTCGAAAATGGTTAGCGTGGAATTGACTTTAACTAATCACGATAATAAAGAAGCGCTCACCAACATTCACTGGACTCAAAAGGTAATCGAAAATTGTATATATACACATACACTCACAATTACATATATAGCTATAATCAACGTTTAAATATAGCGTGAAATAGAAATAACTGCTGATAAATGTAATTAAATATTCATTATTTTAGTCTTAATCAATTGTTTTTTACATTATTATTAAAAATAATTGATTTCTATTCTTACAACAAAAGATATTAGATAGTTGTAGTTATAACTATAATTTTATTAGTCAATTCTTATTTCCTATACTGTTATACATTCTGTACCTATGTATATAGTTTAAATGTGTATACCTAGAGGGAGACTATCTCCATTATCTGCGATCACCAAATGTTATGTACCTACGCCTGTTCGGTAGGCGAAATCAGCATATATATATCATATTTTTTTATTGTCACATATAATATAGAGTATAGACGAATAGACCACATAATCTATGTTAGAATATAATAGGTAATTCTAATATAATCATTTATCTCGATTTTGAATCGTATGTACGTTTAGTAGRTACATATAAGGTTTACATAGTTCTTACTTCGTCGTTACACATTACATTATACAATTAACAATGGAATTATTAGCTATATCCCATAGCCCCCACATCACGACTACTTTCTGCAGACAAATGTTTATACTCTGCGGTATTACGTATCTGTTGGTATAAGGGACTTATATTATTAAAATAATTAATTTTGTTTACTTATTTAGAATTCTGACTTGAGTATTCATAATTCGGCACCGATCATGCAATTGTTACCGGGTTCGGTCACCCTGGGTGCACTCGGAGTGGACTACAAGGATTCTATTCAACCTCTCGTTTTGGAAGTATCCTGGTTTACTGCTGGTATGGAACGTAAAAGCGAAGTTGTATTGCGCGTGCCTGCAGGTGAACTCGTTCAGCCGCTGTCCATGAGCGAGGACGACTTTAATGGCGAACAAGGTAAACCATACTAAAACTAAAATAACTAGGCAGATCCTGATTTATTTTCCCTTTTCATTATTGAAATCGTTTCAATTGTAAAACCAAAATAAACGAGCTCCGACTTTAAACATTGCGTGTGTTTAGTTTTTACACTAAATGATAATAATATTTTGTATTCAGTAAAACTTAAAGGGATGAACGAGCACATGGCACAAGTCACTTTGAAAAATGTCAATCTAGATATCCAGAAAGCTGTATTTGAAATATTCAACGTTGCGCGTGTTATTACTGAAGAACAAAATATATTCAGGTACCTATACGTTTGTGAATATTACGTGTTAGAAGAAAAAAACTATGTTTAAAATAATAATCTTTAACCCATAGGAAATACCTAATGTAGTAATATAAATAATTTGTTTTTTCACGTTTTGGTAATTCCAAAAATAATGTTTCATTCTAGTGGACAATTTTAATTATTATAACTGATGTTTATGTTTCAGGTTCAGTGGTCAGACATTGTCATCTAATTGTCTTGTGTTACTTACTATTACCAAACATGAGTCTTTGGCAACGGTATGTGTTAATTGTGAGAAAATGGTCATTGGTTCGGTACTTTTAAACGAAATAAAAGGGTTGTTGTCTCATTGAATATCAAACTAATAAATGTCCATTGTTTATTAATGATATATATAAATAACTATTCCAATACATTATGTTATTTTGTAATTTAAAATAATTTTATGCATAGAGTAATCTTTAATCATAACATTTGTTATTTTTTTAAATTTTCCCAAATTGTTATATTATATTTCAACTTAATAGCTTAGGTATCTTGTTATTAAAAAATATGTATATAATCGATATGAATGTAATAATTCATGAAATATATATACATATATTGAACATTTTTATATATTTTATAAAATATAATCAAATCTATACATTTAAAATTATAAATTACATTTTTTATAAATTTTTATCAATATAAGTGAATT